CGTCACATATATGTCACGTAAGAAGATTACCAGTAGTTTTCACTACTAATTGCATTGGTAAAGATTTGTAAAGAAGTAAACTACTGCTCAGAAATGTAAACTATTTATTATTATTTTTTAAACAATGATGGATATGTCCAAGCTTGTATATTGGGCCTGAGGCCCACAACTTTGGCCCAACTATGACATCTTAAATCTTAGAAAATATAATTGAATATTTTTTTTAAAAAAATATTTATTTTGACTGAAGATTTACCCGAATCGAGGAAAATCAACCTTGGAAAACTGGTGACATATGTCGTAATATTACATATCTCGTGATATATTGGCGACATAATAAAAGTCTAACCCAAACAAAGGGTAGAAGTGGATGGGACCCACTAAAAGATTTTGTTGGGACTCCCAGATCTTCTCTATTGCGATTGGATTATAATTACAATAATGCCACGATATACAATGTGTTTACAGGGTTGCATGATTTGGCATCATCACGTTCCTTCATCTCAAAAAATTTCAAAAAATAATTTTTAAATTAACTGTCGCGATTTTGCCACGTCAAATTTTGTCAATGAACAAGTAGATTAATTCTTACCTTTTTCCTGGAAAACCTCAAGTTGCCCTTTGTACGGTTCTTTGCTGCAGTCTGCAGCACATAGGAAATCAGGGTCCAGAACACGACTTCTATTCTTGGCCCATCTAACGATCTACATGTTTTTCTCTCTTATATTTTACAACACGTTTAAAATTAACAAATTTAACATTATATATGTATAAAAAATTAAGTAGAAATTGTAAAAGTTGGCTGGGGTTAGACTATTATTTAGTTTTAGAGCTATTTTTTTCGAGATTCGAGAGTGAGTCACTCTTAAGTCTGAAGTAAAGTGGATTGTTGCGTTCTAGAATTTTCAAGTGATGTATCGTGCAATTTAGGAGTGTGCATAGGTTGGACTGAGTCGATTTTTTCCTCAATCCAAATACAAATACAACAGAACATGATCGGTTTGAACTCAAATCAAACCAACACAACCCAAACATATCAATTTTGAGTCGGTTTAGATTGGGTTAGTAGGTTTGGATTTCGCTCGATAAAAGTTGAATTTGATTATTTTTGTTGAATTTAGATAATTTTTCAAAATTTGAAATTACTAGAAAAACTTCATTTATTTTTAATTAAGGAATTTTTTCTGAAAAATAATGTATAAATATGTTTAAAATTATGAAATATTTTTTTTTTTACAATTTTTTGTGATTCATTCATTCCACCATCATATCCTTTATTTTGTCGTTAAATAACTTTGTATTTGTGCATAGTATTCATGTTAATCAGTTTATGAAGAAAAAATAAACGTTTATAAATTATAAGTCATTCTCTTATTTTCACCATCGTTTCTAATTAATTTTTTTAATTTATCGGGTTGAATTGAATTTGGTTAGGTTGGGTTGGGTTTTAATTAAATCCAACACAGTACAATTGAACTTAAAAATCAATCCAAATCAATCGATTTGACTTGGATTGGTCGGGTTGAGTGATTCGGGTTAGGTTCTGCCCAACCTAGTCGTGCTTGGTTTGAAATATACTTTGTGCTAGGTCTTGTGCATTTATACAACTACATATCAATATGTGTTGTGTTGGAATTTTTTACATGATTGTCCGTGATCTTGAGCTGGATTTTTCGTTGTCTAACTTTTACCTAATCCAAAATTCGTTGTTTTAAAATTCAAGCTCTACTAAATTGAACTCTTAACTTTTCAAATGTCAGTGATTTATCAACATCGTCAACTAGACTTGTTCACGTGACTACACGTGAGATTAAACATAATACACTTAGTGTCTATTTGAGCCCCACTTTTGGATCAAAATGTATTTTAGAATAGTATCTCGTTGGAGAAGGTATTGTTAAAAAATAAGAAAATTTTTTATGTTTGCATATAAAATTATTTTACGGGAGAATATACAGTTGAAAATAACTTTTTAAAAAAATAAGGACCAAACATAGACTTAATAAAGAATTCATGTCAAATGAATTTACCATAAATAGTCAACTTATATAATATAAAAAACCATAAATAATATAGCCACGAGAGGTCATTATCTCGAGGTGGCATATGGCACTCGAGGAATTAGTTTAACAAAGATGCCAACATGAATTGGATCCATTAGTTAAGTATAAACTGAGATTGATATCTTGACTTTGATTTCTTTGGCTTATTTATTTTCATTATTTGTCACTATAGAGGGTTCCCCATTCTTATCGCGTTCGGCCACACGAAATTTCATTGGTTTTTATATGAATAGAATCAAAGTAAATAAATGTACTAAAATAATTTTTAAAATTCTGATCACGGGTACATATTACTTCATGAATAATTTACTTAAACTACTCTCGTAGGTGGTAACAAATAACAATACATGTGTATGAAACTTGTTATGTGTTGATTCGTGGTTTGATGGTACTATTGGATTACGGGGAAAACTGTAGCGACAGTCCCTAATTTATCACTTTTCTGCAGCTTTTAACATTCACTTTGTGCTAACCATAATTCTAAACCTTTTAAAAATATGCAACTAGTGCTCAAATGGATGGAAAACTGTTAGCTGATCAGAAAAATTCAAAATTTATTCAATTTTGACTAAATTAAAAAGGACAAAATGGTACTTTGTATTTTTTTTTTACATTAAATAAGTTAAAAAATTAAATTAAAAAACCAAAACAACTAGAACAATTAAAAAAAAATAAAATCTGCCCTACTCATGCCCACCCATCTTCATCCTCCTCTTCTCCTTGCCGCAACGACCACGGTGCCATCTCTCTTCTCTCTCCCAATTCCACTACATCTCCTCTACCTGCACTTGTCCACCACATATTCATCTTCTTCTCCAAACCATTGTAGATCTAGCAGTTAAAAGACCTTTTATTTTTCTTTCTTTTTTTTTTTAATTTAAATACGATGATATATTCGTCATTTTACAGTTTTTATTAAGTAATTGAATGAAAATTGATAGAACTGATGGTTTGCACAATTAAAGATGTATTTAAAGGTAAAAATGACAAAAAAAAAAAAAAAAGTTATGAACCTTTTTCACAATAATAATGAAATATATGGACATTACGTGGTAGTTGTCCTTTTAATAATTTGATTGACACTGATTTGCACTTTTAAAAAAATTGTACTATGGTTGCAATTGATTATTTCTTTTTCTTGTTGTTTTATTTAAATAGAAAGTTATATTTATCATTTTCATAATTTTTAACTGAGAAAATTAATGAAAAAGAATTTTTGCGTAATAAAATATGAAAATAAAGGTGCAAAATTTTAAAAAATAAAAGATAAGAATTTTTTAAAAATTATAGTACAAGGACGTTACGTGTTAATTAAAAAAAAAACAGCAGTTTGGCATAACTCCATACAGATAGTGTCAGTAAATTTATCCCAAAATTCCATCCTCCCATTTTGACTGTGCAATTTTTAATGGACTATGCTACTTGTATATAATTTCTTGTACATAAGGGTGTCCATCCTTTCACATAGGGTAGACCCCGCATAATTAAAAAGAGAATTTTATTCATGTGGGGTCCACTCCATGTGAGAGGGTGGACACCCTTATGTACAAGAAATTATGTACAAGTAGTTTTATC